TGAACTTGAAAAGGAGCATTGACTCTGGGGATGGGGAAAAATATTGATAAATCGGAAATTAATTGAACTCGATTTTGGGGGGAGTTTTTAATGAAGGCTGGAATGATCAGTTGGGTGGATAATGCAAAAGAATAAATAGAAAGAAATGGGAAGACATTTTGGAAGTTTTATAGTACCATACTTGGAGGGAGTGAGGGCTATCATGGATTAGCGTCGGAAAAATCTACTAGAGATTGTATTGAATACCTTGTCATAGAAATGGTTCGACTTTCCCAAGTCTAAGCTAAGAAAGATTAAGAGGTAGAGATATCGCTTTTAACGCTTTCATAGGAGAATTTCCCTCCATAAATTATGATATTTTAATTGTTAATTGTTATGGTATATCAATATATCATTTATGAAAATCTAAGCCAACAGATTAAAACCTCTTTGAGTCATTACTCCATGGAATTTTATACTTAGAGTTAACATTGACTTAATCTTTGACAATTAGACAATAACTTCATTAGTCGCTTGCTGCCACTAGAGATGGGGGACTCAAGGTAGTCTCGTAAACCATTCATGCGGGCTGTGATGCTGTTAATCCCAACTCCATTCGCATTGACCCCAAGATTGACCCATCCCTCTACCCGCTCCATGCATAACCTTTTGTGAATATGTTTTGAACTCCACTGACATATCATCGGGGGGGTTCTATGTTGTATTGTTGGAGTGTTCTCTATGGGTCCATGAACACTGATGTGTTCCATTGTTGACCCACATATTTCCCCTCCCCCGGAATTTTTATGGTAATTTACAACCTCCAGTTAAATGTTTGGAGCTGCACCCAACCGTTTGTTGCAGTTGCAACCGTTGTTCCGCTGCTGCCCCACTGCATTGCTGCCTCTGGGGGTTATTTATACTATTTGTATGGTGATAGAGTTGACAGTAGCACAAATTTTGATTGATCACTCTTGATTGACACTCGGGCAATTTGCTAATTCTATTTTCGAGTGGAAAAACTCTTGGAACATTGGAAAATATGTCGCCTTTGTGGGTCACTCTGGCTGTGGTTGTGCTCTGTGTGGTTATGCTCAGTCAGAGATCTATCTGAAACCATTCTGCTCACTCAGAGATCATTAATCATAATGAATGCTATGGCGATTGCGATTGTCCCTACTTCGCAGCAATTGCTGTCGGATTGAGGTAGCCATTGAAGGGGTCTCCGTCTCCGTCACAGTCTCCACACACTCGAGAGTTTAACGAGCAAATTAATGGGAATTATGCATGCTGCTTGGCTGATTTGCTGCTGCCTTGCTGCTGGGCTGGTTAAAAGCGTAAACTTTAATTAACTTTGGCTGTCAGGTCGGTCCGCAATGTATGTACGGTCGCGTACATACAGCCGGACGGACACCCGATTAACATATACAAATGCCTATCAAGTGTCTGACATCGCAAACGGTCTATAAAAATGGAAAATATATCCAAACGCACAGTCACAGGCTCAAAGTCAAAGTGGAGCGGCCCGGGCTAATTGAAATGCATTGAAAGTGCGTGAGACCAATAACAGCAACGGCAGCAACAAGTCGCAGCGATATAGTGGGGGATCGAGACTATAGGATACCCGGTAGAAAGATTTACATGCAAGATTATTTATTTATTATGTATTATTTTAAGCTTTCTTTACTTTGTTTCCGATCTTTATGTTATTGCAGTAAGAAAAAATGTTTTAAGCTCGACGGATCTTTTTTGATCCGCGAGCCTGCCAAAAACCAATGATTCAGAGAATTCGAAATGTATTTCCATTGCTCTTAGGCGTATCGCTTTATCAGCTCACCCTTATGTGATATGAGCCAGTCGCATACATCCGCTCGAATACTATATACCCTAGACACTCCCCCCGTTGACGGGGTATACCCAACCGCACTGACTGCTACTGCTACTGCAGCTGCGTGTGAAATGTCAGGCTGTGGCAAGCTCCGGGCTGGTTGACATTTACCAGACCTGCAAGTGGTAGGCCCAAAATTCATAGTCTCGTGTACTCTGGCATAACTTAATTACTCTGGTGGCATGGCAAAACGTCTTTATTCGTGGAGAAATCTCCCTTCCTTTCCCTGGGAGCTGATGAATATTACAATTTAGGCAACTGTCACTGGTTATTTCTTGCATAATAAATGGAAATATATAAAAAAAGTGACACTTGCCAATCTGCACCGTGTGATGTATGACGTTGACCTGATTTTTGCCTGCTTTTTATTATCATTTCCATCGGCTGCATGTTGATTTTTTTCAGGTACAAAACACAATCCGTGTCTTGTCGAACTGTCTGCCCCTGTCAGTACACACCTTTCCGTGACGCGCCGCCGAGCGGCAATTTGTCTTTGCCTCTGGGGCGCCATTTATAATATTTCATCTGGAATTGTTCGTCGGCCTGGGGTGGTGTGTAGGAGGCAGCAGGTTCAAAGTGTTAAGTGTGATTGGGCCCAACATATGTAATACAAGGCGTACAAAATATTCATCGAGAGTTTCCAATCCATTCCATAGAACCGCTTTGTTCGCCTCGCCCCCTGTGGCAGGCACAAGAGTCAGGATGGCCGAGTGGTCTAAGGCGCTGCGTTCAGGTCGCAGTCTACTTCTGTAGGCGTGGGTTCGAATCCCACTTCTGACAAGATTTTTTGTACCTTTTTTCCATATATTCTTAAAGAATCTATCTATATAAATTATTTACTGATACTTCATTGGATAATGTTTGTAGCTAGTCAACTCATACTCATATGCCCATTTTTTAACTATAGGTTATTTGCTTTATTTTTACTCGCTATAAATAGTCTTTAATTGGGTTGGGCGAGTAGAGGTCCTGTCTCTCGCTGATTATCCGGTCAGGATGGCCGAGTGGTCTAAGGCGCTGCGTTCAGGTCGCAGTCTACTTCTGTAGGCGTGGGTTCGAATCCCACTTCTGACAAAGGTTTTTTTGTATCATATTTCTTGCACTTGCTTAAGGTTTTAGCCAGACACAGAGAGAGCAGAGAGAGAGAGAAAGAGAGCATAATATGGATGCATCTTTTTTAGGCAAGAGCCTTCAATCTTTTGGGTTTTGTTTTCAGTTGTATTATATTATCGCTGTAAGAGCTTTTGATTTTCGTTTAAAAATTCAATTTAGATAGCAATTGCGCTTATCAATTATGAGGAGTCGTAAATTGAGCAGCAACGTTGAATCGACAAGCTTAACCAATTCATAATATAATTAATGAAATGTTAAAAGCTTCTCCATAAATAAACATTCTGAAAGACGCAGGTGTTGGCTGCGTTCAGGCTATTTCTGAACATTAATTGCATACATATTTACAGACAATTTGCGGCTGGCAAATATTCATTTGACTATTATTTAAAAGCCAATCAATTGGCGGCTCGACACTGTCATAAATTTCAATAGTTGCTCATTAGCCGATGGAGAAAAACCACGCTGAAAAAGAAGCGGCTTGGTACTAAAGATAAGCATCCACTTGTCACATCACTCATATTTCATATTCCTTTCCATCTTGAGCCCAGTCCCACCCCATCCACGCTCGCATTGTCTATGGAAATCGGCTGTCACTTGTCAATTGTTCCATCAGAGTTACAGCAAGAGGCAGCCTCAATTTTCCAGGCCTTGCCGGCGCTAAAATGCACATCATAAAACTTTAATGGCTAACTACATTTTTTTGATGGGTGGAGTGGGGGGGCTTAATTTTCATTGTTTTTGCCAGCAATTATTTATTCCGGCCAAATTGTCAATTGTGATGTATGTCTGTGTGTGTGTGTGTGTGTGTGTGTGCTCAAGTTGATTGCATTTTATGACCAGCTACGGACACAGAACACAGAACACAGAACAGAAGCATAATTATAGATAGGCCCGATCTGTTTTTCCCAAGAACAGATGTGATGTGAGTGGGCCGGCTGGCCGATCGGAGCGGAGTGCTTACTGCATTTGAAATCGCGCTCAGTCAGCATTTTAATTTCTGTCTGATTGAAGTGAATGAATAGACTTCTCCAAGTGTAAGCGTGATGCCAGACGGCGATAATTTCCATCGACATCGCCATCATCGTTGTGTGGTCTATATGTCTGTCTATGTCTGAGCGACGGCCGGAGGGCAATGCAATGCAATCGTCGTTAACTGCCAGCAGATTATGTGATTGGAATATTGACAATTAGGCGGTTACAAATTGATTTATATGTAATTTTTAATGGCGCCCCTCATCAAGGAATTTCCTAGCTAATTGATGAAGATCAGGAGAGGCAAACAACTAACGTTCTTTGTGTGGTGAATGGGAATGGACAAAAATGAAGCAAAAAAAAGATTCTTGTCAGAAGTGGGATTCGAACCCACGCCTACAGAAGTAGACTGCGACCTGAACGCAGCGCCTTAGACCACTCGGCCATCCTGACTCTTAAGAACAACTGTGCCAGAGCGACCATTTCTTAGCGAGCAGATTTCTTTTTGCGAAAAATAAATAGAATTATGTACGACAGTTTTTCTTATTTACATATCATTACATAAAAAATAAGTTAAGTGGCAGCTTTCGACGTTGACAAAAAGTTGATATAAGTTGGCTGAAGGAAACGATATGCATTGGCATTTCAACTGAACAGAGGTAACCATTCATAAGAATTAATGTATGACTGTATGTATAATTCTCAATCACAATGTCATATTTTTTGACCAACCATTTCGTAAGTTTGTTATGATATGGTGATCCGATCTTTGAGTCTCTGAGTTATGTTATGGTATTTGTTTCTTCACTTGTAGACACAATCAGATAGCTTTTAGTTCGATAAACTTTATTCTCTCTCTCTCTGCTCTCCAAACCCAAGCTTTGGGTAGATTGTGTATTTTGAGTGAATCCAACGCTCCGACTTGAGTGCCTTTTTCCCCACTAAATGGATGTTTATGTTAAGTTGATAAAGCTTCACAATTAAATGAAGCTTTCAATAGCTTTAAGCTTGACGAGGGAATGGAACTTTTGTCAGTCGGTGTGACGTAGAGTAGAATGCAGAACGTAATCAAAGAACAGAGCGCGAGTCTGAGACACTTTAATCAAGATAAGCCATGCCATTCGAAACCAAAAACATCAAAGGAATTAATCGCCAGAAATTGAATTTTAACGTGTAAAAAAGCCCTTCGTGGATAATCGTCATAGAGAAGATAACTAAAGGAAACTGCTGCTGATAACAACAACATTGTGCAGCGGCAAGGCAAGGTTATTCAACTTAAGAGTGCAGCTTCGGTGCAACCGACTGAGAGAGGGGGAGTGAGGGAGACGGAGAGAGGAGGAGGAGTGCAACAGGTAAGAATTATGTACACTAGATAAAAATGTATGATGCGAGTTAAAAGTAGATGAGTCAACCATTTGTGTGGCATTTTCATCGTTTATTTTTTCGTAAATATTAAACGGCCAGACAGCAGCAACAGCAACACGCGGGACCATGTAAGCTCCAGTTCTATGGCAGCTGAAAGCTCCAACCCAGAGAGTACTATTGAGAATTGTGTGTGCTTTTCGCTCTTTGTGGTTTTTCACTGATGTTGTTGCTGCTGTCTGTCTGTGGCTCCCATAGCATGCTTCAGCTAAGTACATGAACAAACAGAGCGACAATACTACGTAGTAATAGTACTACGTATTACTTGCTCATCCACAAAAAAAATATGTTTCTTACAGAATGAGCGATCTGCAGATAAGTCAGGCAAGGTCCCTGCATCCCAGTGTCCAGCCTTGGCTGGTGGCACCTTCAAGGATTTGTCTGATGGGCTGCCAGGATGTGAAACAATCCGAACTGCGTCGCTTTCCAGTCCACGATGCCAAACGGTGAGCCTCTCTCTCTCCCAGAATTTGCATTATTCCAGAACCACTTGAAACCTGTTTACATAGGAATTCCAGCTTTCCGATCAAAGCTTAGCTTTTTTGTTTTCGTTGTATTTTTTTTGCACAAGCCAAGAGAGAGCTTTTGTGGTGTTCCTCTTCGATTATTCCCAGTCAAAGGTTATTGAACTGCCTGTCTCTCTCTCTCTCTCTCTATCTATCTCTCTGGGATCGCTTGGATATCATAGAAAAATTTCAATGCCAGCCAAAGTGCATTTGTGTGAGTGTTGCAATTATGCTGATGTGGGTGAGTAGCCAGCAGCTGGAGGAGTGAGGGGGCGCGTTATTGCGTTTATTTATAGCTCTCACGCTCTCCTTAATGCATGTGGGGGCTGGCTTCTGCTCTTCCTTTACCTCGTTCTTTCTCTCTTTTTGTTGTTGTACTGTGATCTGCAAAAACAATTTAGTTTGCTTTGTTTGGCATTGGCCATGGGGCTTAGGGTGGACCATGTTACACGCCCTTTGCATAGGGCAATACTCGTATGATTTTGATCAGATGCTTACACCGAATATAAAAAGCCACAATTAGTGGAAAGGATGCACAAAACAACGTAGCAAAAAGTATAGGTAAAGGTACGGGAGCCCATATAGGGGGCATGCATATCATTTACATCGTCATATCCATATAATTTAGTATGGGCCACCCTAATTGCATGAGTTGTCGCCTATCCATAAACAGTACATGAGCAGCATTTCGTTTTGTAAGAGGGAGAGGGGGTGGAGTGTGGAGTAGAAGCTGCGCTGCAACAACAGAAATGTGCCGGTATTAATGCATGTCCGCAAAACTTCCGCTTCTCTCTCAGAGACAGAGAGAGGAGAGCTTTTTTGACAACAACACAACGTTGTGTGCGTGTGTGTGTGCGGGAGAGAGAGAGTGGATCTAATTTGAAAGCTTCGGCAGTAAAAGCATAGCGTCCAAAAGAACAAAACTTCAATGCAGTTTGCACACTAAACAAAGAACTGCCAAAGCGATTGCACTATTTGAGCGTCACTCTCTCGCTCGCTCGCTTGCTCGCCCGCTCTCTGAATAATTGGTGTGTTTACGGCATGACAAGAATGGTTATTTATAATTGTTCAAAGAAATGTGTTAACCAAAAGCTGAGCTTCGCAATAAACAATATAGTACTCTCCACACACACACACATACTAATGCCATCCATGATATTTTTTTTTTGCAGCTGCAACCATTGGCTTCGACATTTCGGTGTGAGCGATCAGCGTGTGGAGCAGCTTGGCGGTCTGCAAAAACTTCGCATCTGCTTCAGGCATTTCCAGAATATGGCCAAGACGCGCATCAAAATGACGCCGCTGCGCAAATCCAAGGCCATGCCACCAACAACAACAGCAGCAGCAGCAGCAGCCGATACAAATACTAAGGGAGGAGGAGGTGGAGCAGAAGCAGCTGCCAAGCCCATTGTGGATAACAACACCATCATACAACTGGTTAAGGTGAGTCGGCGTCAGCATTACCCTTGCACATATTTTAAGAAACTTCATTACTCCATTTCAGATCCCCATCAGAGATCCACAGAAAGTACAACAGGCCAAAAAATCGGTGACCACCATTACACCCGTGCCACAGCGGTCTCACTCCATCTGCTCCTCGGCCTCCAGCGACGTGCAGTCCATCAGCTCCGACTACGAGGCGGCACTGCCACTGGCCGCTCTTGTGGAGTCATCACAGAATGGAAATGGTTACCCGGATAATGGAAATACTGGCCCGAAGAATGGAATCATTCGCCAGGAGAATGGCCAGCCGAAGAAGAGGAAGCTCTACTTGATCACTGAGAAGTCGGATGAGAAGAACGGCCATGGTACGGAGATCAATGGCCAGCCCAAGAAGCGAAAGATGTTTGTCGTCGTGGAGCAGGAGAAGGAGTCGGTGGCTAAGAAGCTGATGATTGTCAGCGACAAGCCACAGGACAATCTCACCCAGCACTTGGAGAAGCTGCTGCCCCAGATACTCAACCGCATACAGGACAAGGAGCAGAAGCAGGTGAAGCCGCCTCCTCTGGCAGTGAAGGAGAAGCCTGTGGTACACAGGCCCCACATTACCTTGCCGCCCAAGAAGAATCCCACAAACTTTGTCAAAGTGTCAACGGATTCGGCTCTAGCTGCAGTTCCAGTTGCCATTCCACTGTCGCCACCCACTCCATGTGTCAAGATCGTGAAATTAGAGAAGGAGGAAACAGGAGAAAAGGAAGAGCCGGCAACTAAAATGATATCCGAGACCAACATCAATCTCTCGCCCGACTTTCGCTTTCTCATGAAGATCTTGCCGAAGCTGGAGCAGCTGCCTGAGCCGCACAAGCAGGACGTGAAGCGGTCCATTCAGATCTTCGTGGAGAAGAGCTACAGTATCTATGGCAAGAAGAATCAGATATAGGTATACATAGGTATACGTATACACACATGGAGTATACTCGTCCATATTTTATTTTAATATTCGTTCGGTCAAGTTCCCCCATTTATTTGAGAAAAGGCATTTTTAATTACGTTGTCTAAGACTGAAGCAGAACCAATTTAATTTTATAAGCAAAATCAAAGAAGAGCTGGAACAGCCAGTCCATCCCATCCTCCCCCCATTAGGATGTTAAGCAAACCAAAATTTGATATTACCCAATCAAAGACAAAAATGGGTATTTTATGAGAGAACTAAGCCATACACAACAAGCATCTAAGCATCTAAGTATACAAGCCAGAAATGTTGGATTATATTATTCAAAAGAAATACTTTCTATATTGAATATAGAAACGCTGATTTTTGAGCACAATTATAAATATTTTGCTTTGTTTTTTATTGGGAGGAGTTTTAATGCTTGGCAGGGACTCCTCAAGTCTCGCAAATAACAGACAAAAACGAGAAGGAATGTGTGAGTCGCTTATGGAGACGCGACTCTACTTATATCCGTACTCAGTCGGTATATAAACTTTTTAGCTTATGATTCATGTAGCAGTGTGATATCACATGAGTCGGGAAACAAAATTTGGCTGCTCCAGCTCTCTAGTCTCTGATAACTATGCGCTCATCAAGACGGCCAGACGGCCAGACGGACGGACGGACAGACGGATGGACAGACATGGCTATATCGGCTATTGATGCTGATCAAGAATATATATACTTTATGGGGTCGGAAACGTTTCCTTCTCTGCGTTGCACAGTGGCGCCCCTTAAATCGACGGCCAATGTTGGAACTAAAGATCGCTGGTTGTTTTTGCACTGTGTCAAAGGCTGGCCGACGCGAAATTGAGCGAGCTTTTGTGAGGGAAGAGAATTATTTTATAGTGTTATTTAAATCGCTTTAATTCCGTAATTTCTGGTCCGATCTGGATGTAGCAAGCCTCCTTATGATCGGAAAAATATCCTCGATAGATTAAGATCAGATTGAGATCACGGACTTAAAGGATTCTGCCTAAACATTAATTTGTAATCTTTTTTATTTAAATCCAGGGATTTCAGTGATGGAGATCATCTCCTTGTTCGATTGGAAGAACAATAAGAAATACGAAGACAGTGATTTCGTTTTGTTTCGTTTTAATATAGATTTTCTTTATATATTTCTTTGTATAGATACATACATATATATATGCGAGTGTATGCACAGAACTACTTGGGTTTACACATCTTAAAAATGACTGACTGGGCTTCGAATGATGTTCGTAATACTTAAAGAATTTGCAAATGGGGTTTGTTTGTTTATTGGGGTTTATTGAGCCTCGTAACAGAGAGAGAGAGAGATATAGAGAGTGAGTGCGAGAGAGACGATTGAAGTAATTACTCGTAAATTTGGGATACTACTTTGGCCTCCATGTCTCCGTGTTTGTGCTAAAATTGGGGCTGTCCAAAGTGTTTGTTTACCGGAGTTCAAATTTCAATTCATATTCATATTTGTGTTTGTTGTGTTACTCTCCCATGTCAGGAAGGGAAAGCTAATGCTTTGATTGCCTTGAAGCGGTTCCAAGAGTGGGATTTACAAACCTAAATTAACTATTTACATGTATCAGGCAGGGAGGGTGTGTTGCACATTGGTATGGTATGTAGGAACAGATAAATCATAGATTAATTAAGTTGTTTAAATGGAGCTTTTGCGAGATTTTACAAATTGGTTATATACTTTTCTCATTTGATTTTGACGAAGGGTGGGGGGCAAACATTTGTTGTTGAATTTTATTTTTGTATTAATTAATAACCGCACAAAAAATATATCGCATATCCATTATCCATCGATGGATAGATCCTTGCCCCGATCTTCTACTCGATGTAGATGTCCTCGATGGGATAAGCTGTTTCAATGAATTTCTGATAGAAACGCTGAAAGGCTCGTCTAAGCAGACACCCAATAATATATTTATATTAACGATTGGAATATCTGGCAGAGTTTAATTGCATGAAAAAACTTACCCAACTGCCTCGGCCACTGGCCTGGTGGACTCCGAGCCCTTGAAGACGTGACAGGCGAAGCGCTGCACTGTCGGATGCTTCGTAATGAAGCCAATGAAGCGATGATCGCGAGGGTGAAATGCACAGAACGAGACATTCTTCAGCGAGTAGAAATAGTCGATGCAGGGCTTCTTTTCCTTTTTGTTCTAAGGAGGGGGAAACAAAAGCAAAAAGGTTTCTCTTTACTCATTCAGAGTAGGAGCTTCAGTACTTACATTTGGGCCCGATCGATCCACCATGCGTAGTCCCTGATCGGAGACCTCCAGAATGCATGTCTGTCCGGTGGGCGAGGCACCGTATTCGCCCACAATTTTGCGCACCGCCTGACAGACGACGCCGGTGCCCTTGTGCGCCAGCGTCTCCACGGATCCAAGGTATCCGAGCAGATATCGCTCCTTCTTCACCAGCTGCACCGTCGGATCGAACTCGTTGTAGTCCAAGTCGACGGCATAGGCCGACGGGAAGATGCCCTGCCTGCCGGTGCGCAAATTCACGCCCTCGCACCACAAGTCCTCGGCCTCCTTCTGCACATAGATGGCATCGCCGATCTCCAGCTCGATCTCGTCATGATGTCGCGGCACAAACTTGTGCAGTCCGCGGTGTGTCGCCTCCAGCATCTCCAACTGCCCAAAGGGCACGCCCCCGAATGGTGGGGGAAAGGGTGACTGGGAGACGGGCGACGGTATCTGTGGCGACATGCTCTTGAAGTCATTCGGCGAGTGCGCTGTGCTGTGGCCACTGTCCACATCCCCCAGGCTCTGCAGTCGCTCCGAATCGGGACTGGAGTCCTCGTCCATCAGATAGCCGCACTTCAGCGAGAGGAATGAGCGTTGCTGTCCGGTGCGTGCCGCTGCTGCTATGGGACCAGCTCCAGTTCCGGTGCGAAACTCATCCGCCAGCGATCCGTAGTTGGTGCCGCCTAAAAGATGCAGAATGGAAGCTGCAACCAGACCCCATGAGTCGCTTAGATTTCAGCTACAAATACAGGGCAGGGCAGGGCTGGCAGCTACTTACATTTCTGGTTTTTTGGTATCTCGGGCAGCTTGCGACGCCGCCGCTGCGTGGCAGCCGCATTCGGTGTCAACAGATCCGTGCTGGCTCCAATGGTCACGGGTGCAGCCGAGTGTAGTGCATTGCTTGTCATGCCCATGATGCCGCCAATGGCATCCTGATGGTTCAACGGATGATGCCGGTGCGAGTTGAACGAGTCGTTTGTGTCCAGCGAACCGTCCGATGAGAGTGTGACTTTGAGACCATCTCCCAGCTCGTCGTCCTCCACTTGGCGCAGCTTGGGCTCACGTTCCGGCATGCCCATGCCCATGCCCGGGCCCATGCCCATGCCAATGCCATCCTCCTGGTCCGAGCCATCGCCATCGCTCTTCGAGGATGTGGAGTCCTCCATCTCATCGTTGGGAATTAAACTGTAGAAAGAGTCAAAGGGGGGGGATTGAATAACGACGAATCAAATATGGAAATGGAAAATTCGATATTTTCAAATGGGGATTTATACAGCGCTGCTCCTTGGGGGCAGAGGGTGACTTTCACTGGGGGCAGAGTTTTATTTTTTGTTTTTACTTACGAGTAAAATGCATGGGAATTATTATTCTTCTTGTTGGCTGCTGCACCTGCCCCAAATGTGGCAATCGCATGTGGCTCAAATATCGGCCTATGGAACTCCTCAAATTCACTGTCCGCCATGGCTGCTGCTGCTGCTGCCAGCTGCCACACCCACACGCACTCAAGACGTCTTGCAAGTGTCTTTAATTGCTGCAGGTATCTGTATCCGAATTCTGTTGAATTCTCCCAGGTATTGGGCCAACTTTTGCACAGTTTTCCGACGCACACAAACTGTCCAATTGAGTTGGAAATTTTTCACTTCTTCATGCGAAAATCGATAATTTCCTTGACGTCTCGCTGGCTGCTGGCTGTCGTACTTGATGGGCTCTGGGCTCTGGGCTCTGGGCTCTGTGCTCTGTGCTCTGTGCTCTGGCCCTGTCAGATGTCCAGACACGAGTACGCGTATTACTGAGCTCCGCTTCGCCTTTGCCTTGCCTCTTCGGGGGAAATTTCAGCTGTCAGACTTTCTCTCAGTTATCTCTTGCTCTCTCTCTCTCTCTGGCTCTTCTCTCTCTGCAAACTTGTTTTTGTTTACAAGCTTCTCGGCGTTGGACCCTCTCTCTTGGGGGTTGACAGGAAACGGCGCAAGCGCTGTAACTTTACCCTACATCCGCTTCTCAAATGCGCTTTGGGGGTGGCTTCAGAACTGCAATGCTGTTGCGCCTTGGCTGGTGCGACTGCGACTGCGACATGCCCCCAGGGCTGGATCTGTGTTGAAATGGGGTTGCATGCCAATACAGAGGGCAACAAAATGATGCATGTCTGAAAGGGATGAGAAGAGTGTCAGCAATTTAATAATGAATATTTAATAATAAATTATAAAGGAAATCATCAGATTGGAAATGGAAATATTTCACACTTTCTGCAGATCTGTTTATTGATTTTCGTTGAAGCAGCAATTGGATCGAAAGTGGTTCATAGTGCTCCCAACAATTGACTGCTTTTCTGATTTAAATATCGCGTGGGATTAGCTGTACAAATCCGCTATATATCAGGGAGTAACTGATTTGGGTGGCATGGTATTAAGTGCCCAGCAAATTCCCTCAATTGGCAGCTGCACCCAGCGATAATTTGCCAGCTGCTAAATCAAAAATAAAGAATGAATTTGTATTTGCTGGAATAATCCACAAAATGTCAAAACATTGACTGATTTGATTGAATCAAAAAAGATTCAAGATTCCTCTCTGCTAATTTATCAGCAGGGCAGGGGAAATCCCCTGGAAATACCCAATGAAAATATATTCAATTTTCTTTATTTCCCCCATTGTGTCGCTTATATTCGTATCAAATTTTTAGCAACCACCCCCCCCCCTACCAAGCGAATTTAGTTGCTGTAACTTAATTATTCCGAAAAATCAAGGAAATTAACAACTGCCATTCATCGTGACCTCGACTCAGGCTCAGGCTCAGTTTCAGTCTCCGTCTCAGTCCCAGTCTCTCCGTCTCCGTCTCCGTTTCGGTCTCCGTCTCCGTTTCTGTCTGCTGCCTTTTTAGCAGATTGTTAAGGGGGGAAATGGGAATGGATGTGCCTTGTATCCTTTGAGGCACATGGCTCTGGGGCTGCTTCTGCTGCTTCTGCTGTTGTTGCTACCAATAAATCCATCAAACGCTTGTGCAGCTCTCGTGAACAAATAAAATGTGTTTCAATGTCCCTTCCCTTCCCTTCCCCTCCCCGCCCCCGCGCACTGTCGACAGACAGCATCGTTTGTCGGTCAATCAGTTAGCCAGCAACCATTAAGTTTATCGCTTCAGCTGATGAGCCCAAGGACACCCCTACCCCATATCCCGACCCCACATCCTGAGGCATGTGGGATGTGCCACTGTAAAAGCACTCGCAGCACTCCCATTCCCATTCCCATTCACCTTCGCTTGCGCATATTTTAATAGTCAAGTAGCCACTGCCTTTCCCCCTGCAACCCTGCCACCCTGCGACTGCTATTTGCTCTTCTCGAAGCGCAAACAATAGAAAAAGAAAAACCCCCAAAGAACGGCAAAGAAATTGCCATTTACTTGTGGCATCTACTATTGACTCTGTCGCTTCCTCCTTCGCGCTGCGGTGGCGACATGAGAGCATCAAGTGGTTGCTGCCACGTGGGTGGTGGCAAACAGCAGCTCTGGCCCCCTGCTGATACCATTGCCGCCATCCCCTTTGACCAGTCTCAACTTTTGTGTGATTTTAGAATCTTCTTTTCATCGTGTATTGATTTTAGCTGGAAGGAGTTCTGTCGGAGTTATCCTACGGAGTGGTGGGGGGGGGGGGGACACAGTTAGTTACTGCTGAGACCCGCATAAATTCAGCATTTTCGCATTTAGAAAGTCAAGCGCAGAACTGTCAGGACTCCGCTAGAGCCTTTCCCCCATTTGCAACTTGCAAAGTTGTTGGCTGCTGATTAGAAAGTGAAACAAAGTGGAGGGGAGGGTACACCCCCCCACTAACCCTAACCCTAACCCAGTTACTCAATACCCTGCCACATTTCCATTGGGCAACTGCATAGAAGAGTCGATGTGCTTGCATGGCAGTGTATCATGACGTCATGCGTTAGCGCTTTAGCCTGATTCCAGGATGATTTGGCCAATCAGAAAAAGGAGCAGAGCACAGCACACAGCACACAGCATACAAAAAGGAGGTGGGTGGGGCCTGTGGGTGCTGTGGGGGGAGGGGCTCTCACTTGTAGCTTTTACGAACGAATCTTGAACGAATTTATCTCTATGCCCTGCCCTGCCACACGCACACACTTAATAAATACAATTGAATATGTATATAGTATGTGTGGCATGTGGCATGGGGCATGTGGCATGGGGCATGTGGCATGGGTACACAGTTCTGCGGGCTGCCTATAAAAGGGCTGACACAGCCGCAGGATCTTGCAGTTGTTCGCAGAGTTGCGCATCCGACGCGTGTGCCGGACCCGTGACAAATAAATCTTCCTGTGTGCAGTGCAGTGCAGTGGCAGGTGTGGCAGCAGCAGCAGCAGCAGCAGCAGCAGCAGGATGAGTGCTTCAGGGAAGAGTCTACTCGGCCTGTGGCTCTACAGGAGCGGCGAACAGGAGTGGGCCGTCAAGCAGGGCAGTCCCTTGCATCAAATCAAAAAGGAAACCACCGCCAAGTCGCATGCAAGTCTCTCGCGGCACGCATCGGCCCCAGGCGACAATTTTCTATGTTTTTCGCCTACTCACAAGCAGGATCGGCACGGTGTGGAGCCGCCACATCCGCCCAGACTGGCCATCGGCGGCCCAGTGGATGCGCCACGGCAGCACTCGCCGGGCGAGCGCATTTCCATCATTTTCACGCTACGCAATCAGGTGGGAAATCTCGCGCGGGCACTGCAGGTCTTCCAGGAGCTGGGCATCAATGTGCTGCACCTGGAGCTGTCGCCGCTGGAGTCGGCCACCAATCAGGCGGATGTGCTGGTGGATGTCGAGTGCGATCCCCGTCGCCTGGATCAGGTGGTGAAGATGCTCAATCGGGAGGTGGCATCCGTTAGCTATACGTCCGTGAATGCCAGCAGTCACATGTCGCGTGCTCCGTCGCTCTCCGCTTGCTCCAGTTTTGGTGAGTTTTTCCCCGCGTCTCCTGCAGCAGGAGTATGCACGAGCATCGATCTACTGCTTCTGCTTCTGCTTCTTTTGTGTTGGCAGATTTCGGTGACATGGTGTGGTTCCCACGGAAGATATCCGACCTGGACAGGGCACAGAATGTGCTCATGTATGGCTCCGATTTGGATGCGGACCATCCGGGCTTCAAGGATCCGGTGTACCGCAAGCGACGCGAACAGTTCTCGGCCATAGCCAACAATTTCAAGCAGTAAGTGTTGCATGCAACCCCTAACCGTCTCTTCGCCACTTTATGCCACTTTATGCCACTCCACCTCCTCCTACCTCCACCCCTGTGCAGTGGCAATCCCATTCCACGCGTCCAGTACACACCTGAAGAAGTGAAAACTTGGTAAGTTTTTCCCAATTGAATTTTCACTTTGGCTTTGGGGGGGCCAGCACAGTTTCATTTTGTTTTCGTTTCGTTGCCCGTGCCTTGAAGGGGCACCGTTTTCCTTGAGCTGCATCGCCTGTACGTGCTGCATGCCGTGCCCGAGTACATGGAGAACTGGCCGGAGCTGGTCAAGTACTGTGGCTACCGCGAGGACAATGTGCCCCAGCTGCAGGATGTGAGTGTGTACCTCAAGCGCAAGACGGGCTTCCAGCTGCGACCCGTCGCCGGTTACCTCTCGCCGCGCGACTTTCTCTCGGGCCTCGCATTTCGCATCTTCCACTGCACGCAGTACATCAGGCACTCCTCGGATCCATTCTACACGCCCGAGCCGTGAGTTTTTCGCTGCCCTTCTGCGTGGCTTTCCTGCTGCGTGGTTTTTCCTAAGCATTTTCCTTTTTTTTGGCAGCGATTGCTGCCACGAGCTGTTGGGCCACATGCCGCTGCTGGCCAACTCCAGCTTTGCGCAGTTCTCACAGGAGATCGGCTTGGCCTCCTTGGGCGCCAGCGATGCCGACATTGAGAAGCTGGCAACGGTGGGTACTCCAGAGTAGTTTCCATTTCCATTCCCCCCAATCATCCGCTTGAGGATCTGTCTTGCATCTTCCCCCTGTTAGCTCTACTTCTTTACGGTGGAATTCGGGCTGTGCAAGCAGGCGGACAGCAGCTTCAAGGTCTATGGGGCAGGCCTGTTGAGCTCTGTGGCCGAGTTGCAGCATGCCATCACCGCTGGACCCAAGATAAAGAAATTCGATCCGGAGTTGACCTGCAAGGAGGAGTGCATCATCACCTCCTATCAGAATGCCTACTACTACACGGATTCCTTTGAGGAGGCCAAAGAGCAAATGAGGTGAGCACCTAAGCCAGATCAAAGAGGGGTAGATGAACTCTCTATCCCCACCCCCCATCCCCAGGGCATTTGCCGAGAGCATTCAACGTCCGTTTGGTGTGCGCTACAATCCGTATACGATGAGCGTGGAGGTGCTCTCCAATGCCCAGAAGATCACAGCGGTGGTGAGTGAACTAAAGGGGGATCTGAGCATTGTGTGCGCTGCTCTGCGCAAGATATCGGCCACCGATGACAATCTGGATGTGGAATGCATAGCCAATATGCTGCACAATAGCCTCAATGTGCGCGGAGGAGGAGGAGGAGGTGCAGGTGCAGCAGCTGGCAGCAAATCCAACAGTCCCGACAATTCGGATAATTCCACGGCAGAGGAAAACTAAACGAAACGGAAAAGGCACCACGGCAAAAGCGGAATATTTGGGACCAACTATACAATACAATCTACAACCAATAAATATCGTACCTATATATAGTATATATCGTCTATATCGCATATATATGTATATCTCTTCTTTGTCTATAACTAATTGTTGTGTGTTTATTTAACCGAAACTTAAATCTATCTACGAGTAAACTTAAAAATAAACAAAAGAAATACAAGAAAGAAGAGAGCTAGGGATGGTTTGGTTTGGTTTCTCTTCTTTTCTCTACTTGTAGATCATATCACAGTCGCTGTTTATGAGCAGCTTTTTGCTCATGTAGCTGGTCACGCACTCGACCAGAAAGTTGGGTATGGTCCAGAGATTGAAGCCGAGCGCCAAGGCGCGCCACTGCTGCAGTATCAGCCGCATGTCGTACAGCCAGCCAAAGCGCTGGCCAACGCGCTTCGACACCTGAGACGTCACGCCACGCACCACGCCGCCGGCCAAGCCGCTGACACTCAAACGGCGACCGCGTCGCTTCCGATCGCCCGTCTCCTCGCCCGAACCCGAGCTTGAGCTCGAGTTGCTGCGCGAGAGGGAGCCCGATCGTGAGCCAGTGCGAGAGCCGGCAGAGTTCAGGGCGCGCTGCTCGGGCCACTCTGGCTTGAGATCGACGCGTGGCGCGATCTGTATGCGATCGACAGTGTTGCAGATTTCCGCATTGCTGATGAGGATCCCCGCCACAATGTACATCATCTTGAAGACCCTAAAAATGGATTAACGGATGGGTGGAATTAATAAGGGCAGTTCCAGGGCAGAGCCAACGCACGGGCTCCACGGCACCGCACGCACCTCACTGTGTGTGACATCATCTTGGGTTCTGTTCCGTTACGTTCCGTTCTGTATATTCTTTTTTGTGTCTATATTATTATTTTTGATGAATTGTATTATTTGTTCACTTTTGTGCACTAGAGGAGGGGAGGTGCCTTATCAGTCACTGGCGGCGGCGCCTTGCTCTGCGCGAATGATCTGCTGATTTATTTGCTAGTTTCTATGCTGCGAGCACACACGTGCACCCTCTCAGCGACTCTCTCTCTCTCTCTCTCTCTTTGCGGGAAAGCTGTTTCCGTGATCCGCTGCGACTGCTCTCTGCCGTGGCCAGAAATCAACTGAATGCCAAAGCAACGACAGAATACCTCGGGGATCTCGGCGCCATTACTACAACATTCGACCAGCGCGATAAGGCTGCAGTTTCAATGTTTGTTTTGTGTGTGTGTAGATATGATCCCATCCAGCCATCCAGCCAGCCATCTCATCCCTCCATTCGTGTCCATGAGATTATGATTCTTTTTATGTGTCTGCAGTTCATTGGAGGTGCTCAATAATGCTCTGTCTCAATGCCTCCCTCTTTATGGCTTTCTCTCTGCCTCTGATAAGACCTCCCCGCCTTATCGATCACAATTTAATGGATGGATCACTTTTTCCTATGGGTCTGCGACGGCGTCAAAAGATAACACTTCATCGCTTCGAAACTACGTAATGTTTGCTCATACATACGTCTCTCTATGGGCTGTACTTTGAACCCATATTCCGATTCACAGTCCCATTACCATTCCCATTTCCCATTCCACTGGACTGTATGAGTGTTCAGTGTTCATTCCCCGAGTATGAGATTACCCATGCTGCATGTCCCATGTCCCATGTACCAGGTCCCATGTACCAGGTCCGTGTGACTGCCTTAGATTGCGATTAGTGTTTCTCTGCTGCTCTAATCGCAGGCAGAGATCTCTCTCTCTCTCTCTCTCTCTCTCTCTCACCTGCACAGTAAATACTTTGTGGCTGGGTGTGCGTGTGTCTGTGGGGTTCTTCCACATTTTAGATTATGGTAAAGAAGTTTCTATTTGTTTCCATCTATGCCCCGCCCCCACCACTTTCCTTCTGCTGCATGTCTGGCTGGAAAAGTCTTCTCTGTTTCCTCTGCCTGGAAAAGTCTGTACACATTTACTTTCATCACTAGCCTGCTATGTATAACAGTTATGACAGACAGAAAAGCTGCTTCTTTTTCCTGGTTTTAAACACTGTTCCAAAGAGCTTTTTTATACTTAGCAAAATAAAGCGTAATTTTAGCTTAAAGCTATCAACTTAAAGCTAAAAACAAATAGCAAAAAGCTTTGGCCGAAGCTCCTTTTGCTTTTCACCCAACGGACAAGCAGCAAAGTAATTTAGAGGAAAGATTTGTAGGACAATCGAACATAAGATACTTCCAAAAATAAAGAACGAAAGTCAGGAAAGTCTGACTAAAATTCATCCCAATTTCTTTCCCAATTTCTTCCCCATTTCTTCCCCCATTTCTTCCCCCATTTCTTTAACCATTTTTTCCCCCATTTCTTCCCCCATTTCATTATCATTTAACATAATTATTGCTGTCCAAAAGATACACTTCCTGCCAATAATACATATCTAAGAGTTAAGAGTTAATTCTATGCCCAGAGAAACAATCAAACGACTGAGGACAAAGGACAAAGGACACTCCTTTCACAGCAAATAATCAACAGTTTGTCTGCCGCACCGCAAAAACCATTTAATTTGTTAACTGAATGAAAGCCCATCCAACGGTAATTGACTTTACTTCCCACACACACACACACACACACAAGAGGGAGAGGGAGGCAGCGAGAGAGAAGAGGTGTGTGTGTGTGTCCATTCTGAGGAAATTCTTAAGCAACGCAGAGACTTTTGCCACATGCCACACAGCATTTCCCACATAAATTATGCACAAGGGCCAGGGTTTCAGGGGTTACAGGGGTTACAGGGGTTCCAATGGTGACCACTGTCCTTCCGGCTGGCTGTCCAAAGTCCACTCGACAGGCAGGACACGGATACGAATCCCTGTTCGGGGCTGGGCCGAGGGTTTTGTGCGTAAAACAAGATTATTTACAAAATGCACAAAACCACAGAATCTTAAACACAGATCCAAGAGGGAGCTCCAAAGGGCGGAAAGGTCTGCTGTGTGGGTTGGAAAGAAAAACAATTTTCACACAATTTTCTGAAGCCACACAACGGAAAGGCAAACAAACGAACAAACAAACGAACACACAGCAAAGATAAGGCCAGACTCAGTGAAGAGGTGGGCAGGGCGGCAGGGCGGCAGGGGGTGGACTTTGTGGACAAGGCCAGAAAGTTGGCAGCTAAACAAAAATGGGCAAGAGCAGGGGGCTGGGGGCCGGGGCAGGGGCGGCAGACAAGTCTGAGCTGCCAAAAGGTATTCCCCAAGAATGTCGACAATAAGAAGCCAGAGGATGGAGGATGGAGGATGGCTGCAGTGGAGTGGAGTGGAGTGCAGCACTGATTTGTCGCCTCATTCTCTCTGGCTGTCTGGCTGTCTGACTGTTTGGCTGTGTGTGTGGCACAAAACACTTCCTGGGGAAGGTCGCCCCTTCTCCTCATACACTGAAGACTGCTGCCACTTCTCTCATTTACAGCACAGACTCCTGATGCTGCTGCTGCTGCTGTTGCTCCTTCTCCATATTCCCCATGAGTGCTGCTGCTGTTCCTTCTCATTCAGAAATCACTTCTGCTGCTGCTGCTGATGCTGCTCCTTCCTTCCTTGCTTTCATTCACAAAATACAGCCTCGTCTCTCATTCACACTCGCAGGGATAGCACACACACACACACACAGCTCCTTCTCCCATTCGCATACACACACACACACACACACAGCTCCTTCTCCCATTCGCACACACACACACACACATTCTGCTTGGCTGGCAATGGAGACGTTATCGTCCTCATCATTTGGCATCGTCTTGGAGCAGGAAGCAGCAAGCAGGAAGCAGGAAGCAGCAGCAACCAGCAGCAGCCAGCAGCCAGACGACGGCCTTGACACACAATTGTGGTCAAAAGCAGTCGAAGGAGCAGCAGCAGCAGGAGCAGCAGCAGCATCAGGAGCAGGCATACAGGTTCGAGGGCAGGGGTTTAAATGCTCATTCAAGTGTCCAGTCTGAAAAATGGCCACCTCCTGCCACAGCTTGGGGCATTCAAGGAAGCTGCACACAAAGAGAGAGGAGAAGGAGAAGAGAAGGTCTCGTCGGTTAATTGTGTGTTGCCACCAGTACGTACTTGGGTGGGGCGGTGGTCCTTGGCTTGCGACTGGGGTAGAAGGAGTTCCGAGTACTTGGCCTTCCTCAGTGTGAATGGTTGGGGGTGGGCGTCCTTGGGTCTTATGGGGATTCCTCTGCATCTCCTGGCTGCTACTGCTGCTGCTGCATATTTGCTGCAACTGCAGCAGGCACTGTTGGCTGAGATTTGCAAGAGCCACAGCAACAGCCACAGCCACAGCCACAGCAACAGCCACAGAATCCTGCCACCAAGTGCCTGTCTGAGCTGCCTGACCTGTTCTGCCCCCTGCCTGCTTGCCACTTGTTGCTTGAGTGAAATATGAGAGAGAGATTTGATTGGCCAAAAGGATAATTGAAAGGATGCCTTAAAGATTACCAGCCGGCGAGCAGACGAGCAGACGAAGCGAGCGGAGCAGCAGCTTAAATGCAAATTGAAAACCAATGGGAAAATCGAGAGCCAAAAAAAAAAAACCAGAGAGCAAGCGAAGCTAACGAAATAACGAAAATCGCTTAATAAATTGGCGAACAACAAAATGGAAATTGAAAATAATGAAAATGCATAAAAACTCAGAGACGGAGAGAGTGAGAGAGAGAGGGAGGGAGAAAGAGCATAGATAAGAGGGAGAGCAGGAAGTACTTGAAGCTTAAATCGAAGAGCGGGAGTGAGGGGGAGTGGGGCCAGCGACCAGAGTCCGGCAAGGTGTTCCTCTGTAGATGATATATGATGGAACCGCAGCACCAGCAGCAGCAGGAAATAATTCCCAATCCCCAGGCAAATATTCCGCGCGAAGAATGGGGCGCATGGATGGGGGAGGCAATGGGGACACATGCAAATATTGAAACGGTTGGAAACCAGCGCAGGATTCTAAAGGGGTAAGGACGATGCTGCTGCTGCTGCTGCTGTGGGTAAGGGGGAGGCAGAAGGAAATCTAAACAACAGCAGCAGCAGTCTGTATTTTTGGCCACAGCCACTAACAATAAATGATGATGGCCAAAAATCCAAGTTGCAGGCAGGCAGAGTGGAGCAGAGATGGGGCCGGGACGGGGTCTTGCCTCTACTGGAGAACTCCGCTGATTAAACGCGAGTGCCACGAATGCGTCGCGAGGTGACGACGACGACTACGACTACGACATGGACATGGACATGGACATGGGAGGCTGGGAGTAGGAGCAGGAGCAGCAGTTGGAGCAGGAGTTGAAGCAGGAGTTGGAGCAGGAGTACTACGTGTCCAGACAGGCACTGACTGGTGCTGCTGCTGCTGCTGCTGCAGTCGAAGCGCAGATCCGCAGACAGACGACTCGGACTAGAAAGGGATTCCGCTGTAGCTGTAGCTGTAGCTGGAGCATCTCCTACTCCTCGTTGCCGATGACGTCGCCTGATGGCTTTGAGTCCGCAATCGACTCCGGAGTCCGAGTACTCGTACTCGTCCACGTCCACGTTCATGTCCGAGTCTGTGTGGCAACATTTTTCGGCAACACAAAGGACAACAGAAAACTGCAGATTGCAAAAAATCAACTACGATTTTGCCAGCAGGTCTGCCGCTTATTTGTTGGGGTCTGGCTGGTGGCTATATGTTTTTTTGGGTATATATTCTACACTGCCCACCCCTCCCTCCGTCCTATTTGGTTTTTTGTTAGGCAAACATTTCCATTTGGATTTTCTTTATTATTTTTTGTTTTTGTTTTGTTTTTGTTTTGTGTTGTTTTTTTTTTTCTTTAATTTATTTTCTTGATTTTATTTGTTTGGCTCTCCGCATGCAAATGATGTTGAATGCGATAAGTGTTTTGAAGGGGTTGCCGCTGCGGCTGCGGCTGCGGCTGCTGCTGCTGCTCCACCTGCGTACATTCCCCGCCTGGAAAATTGGGAAAAAACTGCAGACACCCGGCGGCGGGGTGGGATGGGGTGGGGTGGGGTGTTGGCGGAGCGAACCGCGCTATTTGAAATATGAACTTGAGCTACGACGCGTATTGTCTGCTGTCCCCTGATTATGTGTGTGTGTGTGT